TATACTTGTGTGTGTATTTAATTTGGAAAAAGATTTAAATTTACAAATTGTTACTAAGATAATACAGAGTGATTCCTGTGTTCTCAATTTTGTGAGATTTTGTCCCTTTACCAGTCCCGAGGATGTTTGGAAATGTCTGGAGGCATTTTTTGGTTTTCCCCAATTGGATGTGCTAGTGGCTTTGAATAAATTTAAAGAACAGTAAGTCCCCAACTTTACTAACATTCGAGTTGAGATCTTTCAGAAGTGTACATATAAGACTCACTTTGTCAGCTTACGAATGAATCTGACTCACAATTCTCCCAGAACAGAACTTGTCTATAAGTTCAGGATTTACTGAAGTTAAATTCATGATAAGGAGTGGTAACGGGGACATAGGAGAGCAGTGAGGGGCAGAGTTGTGTTGATGGAATTGCCTGCATCCCTCTACTGCTTTATTTTCTGTTATAGGACTTGTCTTAATTTATCTGTTTTTCTTCTGTCTCCACCCCCTTAGAAAGCAAACTCATGAGAAAGGGAATTTGCTTTATTTAGAATTGTATTCTTTGACTTTCTCTGACAGGGATTACTATGAAAGACATGCTTGGAGAGTCATGTGAAGAGGCTTTAGATACAAAGAACAACGCAGGCCAGAGTAACCAAATGACACAACACCTGCTCTCTGGCCTCCTCTATTATGCCCAGAATACTATCTTGTGTTTGTTAATTCGTGTAAATGGCATGCACTATACATAGTATTCCACGTTCTATCATTTTTACTTGTTGGTATACTTTGATTGGTAGTTTTATTTAAGAATAGGTAGTTCTAATTCAGTAGTTTGCACAGGGGGTGATTTTGTCCCTTAGGGGATATTTGCTGATGCCTGGAGACACTTTTGATGGTCATAAGTAGAGGTAGTACTAATGATAACTAGTGAGCAGAAGCCAGGTTTGCTGGTAAATATCCTACTCTGCCCAGAGCATTTGCACAATTTAGAATTATCTGGCCTGATTTGCTGCACTTTGGAATTAAATTAAAGTTTTCTTTTAATCTATGGAATAGTACACCCAAGCTTTCTTTATCCATTCCCCTATTGATGGACATTTAGGTTGTTCCAGATCTCTGCCATGATGAGGAGTGCTGCAAAGAATATACTCACTGGTATCTGGGTGCACAAGAATTTCTGATAGTCACACATTCCTCTGTAAACACTCCCCAGCTGCTGCTGCAGAGTGCCTGGATTTACTTGTTCCTATAGCATTGCCTGGGGGTTCCAATTACATGCCTTTTTACCAGCACTTGGTATTATTTAACTTTTATGGTTTGCCAAATTTGAAAGGTTTACAACAGTTCCTTTTTAACAGTTTGGCATTTTGTAAGTCCACATAACAGGAAGGATTCAAAACCTAAAGCACTCTACATAAAATGGGTGGAAATAGTCCCTCATCCCCAACAAGGTGGAAATATTTATTGGCAAGCACCCACCACCTTACTTTGTTCAGTTGTGAATCTTTGATACATATAAAACTGCATCTTTTGGGAGACTCAGCCTGTTTCTCACCAGTAGAGGTCAGTGATGCTCGGTGGTTCTTCCCTAGTGTGTGTGTGTGTGTGTGTGTGTGTGTGTGTGTGTGTTTTAACCTCTTCACACTAGGGATTAGTTGGCAGTGCCTGGAGAGGCTGGTGGTCATGACAAGAGCACTTGTGCTCCCAGCACCTACTGGTGACAGGCCTAGGCTGCAGCTCCAACCCTCACAGAAAAAACCCAGTCCCAGCCACAAAGAATGCTATGGCCCCACATGGCAAGAGTGCCACAGTGCAGAAGCCAAGAAAATGACCACATTTAGGCTGCTAAAACTCTGCTTTTATTATGCTCTTATTACATAGCACAAGAAAGACCACTGAAGTAGAGCAATTGGGCATGGGTGGGATGGAGGGGGTGGGATGGAGGGGGTGGGTCGCAGTGGTCCTAGGGGTAATCTTCTGCTCTTCTGTAGTGTGAGCTCCCAGCACAGGGAGAGGAGACATCCGCTGTCTCCTGTGGCCTGCTGGCCGCGTGGCTCCTATGGTGGTGGTGGTGGTGGTGGTGAGGAGCCCCGGGCCTGAGAAGAGGACGGAGGTGCCAGGACCCTCATTCTTGGGGGCCTGGGGGCCCTGGCAGGCTGCACAGGCTGGGAGAAACAGGGTGCCTGCGGCACAGGCCTGAGGCTAGGCCCTGGCAAGGCCAGGAAAGCATGAGGCACCCAGTATGGCAGCAGGGGCAGAGTGGCTTGCAGCGGGGCGATTCGCAGCTGGGCGACTTGCAGCTGCGCGACTTGCAGCGGGGCAGCTTGCATATGGGCAAGTTGCAGCGAGGCAGCTTGCAGCTGGGCGACTTGCATCTGGGCGGCTTGCAGTTGGGCAGCCTGCAGCTGCGCAACTTGCATTGGGGTGGCTTGCAGCTGGGCAGCCTGCTGCTGGGTGACTTGCAGCGAAGCAGGGGCAGCGGTGGCGGCAGCGGCGGTAGTGGCCAGGAGGAGGCCTTGCTCTGGCCTGGCGTAGCTGGTGCAGCATCCTGGGCAGCATTCCGGGCAGCTCATGAAGTTGAATGGCGGGTGCAGGTCCAGCGGGGGCAGGTTGAGCGGCCCCTGCCTGGGCACGAAGGCGCGGGTCTCTCCGTGTCTGCCCTGCACCGGCTGGAAGGCGGACTGGCGCTGCGTGCCGCTCTTCTTCCTTCTTTTGGGCTGCGGCCTCTCCGAGGCGAGTGTGGAGCTCAGCGGCCGCGAGGCTGCGTGGCCCATCGAGTCGGCGGCTTCGGGGTGTTGGGGGCCCTGGCGGGCCACGGCCAGCGGCTCCTGCAAGTGGAAGGAGCTCAGCGCGAAGGCGAGCTGCAGGCCGGGCAGGGCGGCCTGCACGGCGCCCGGGCTCGGAGGCATCGGGCCCTCCGGCCCCTGCAGCGGGCCGGCACAGACGACGGCCTGGGGCGGCGCGGCGGCCGCCTGGGCCGGGGCCTCCCACGCCATGACGAGGACGCCGGGGGCGGCGGTGGCCGAGGCCGCGGCTGTGCGGGAGCCTCGGCGGCGGGGAGCGCGTCTCTGCGAGGCGGGTCGCGCCGCGGGCCCCGTCCGGGGCGTCTCCATGTGGCTCTCGGGCGGCGGGGTCGGAGGACAACGAGCGGGCCAGGCCGCGGGCCCCCTCCGGGGCGTCGCCATGTGGCTCTCGGGGTGGCTGTCCGTCGGTGGGGTCGCAGGACAACGAGCGGGCCAGGCCGCGGGCCCCCTCCGGGGCGTCGCCATGAGGCTCTCGGGGTGGCTGTCCGGCGGTGGGGTCGCAGGACAACGAGCGGCCCGGGCCGCGGGCCCCCTCCGGGGCGTCGCCATGAGGCTCTCGGGGTGGCTGTCCATCGGCGGGGTCGCAGGACGACGAGCGGCCCGGGCCGCGGGCCCCCTCCGGGGCGTCTCCATGTAGCTCTCGGGGTGGCTGTCCGTCGGTGGGGTCGTCGGACGACGAGTGGCCCGCGCCGCGGGCCCCCTCCGGGGCGTCGCCATGTGGCTCTCAGGCGGCAGCGTCGCCGGACGACGAGCGGCCATGGCCTGAGGCGCAGCGCGACGGTGGAACGCGGGCTGCGTCGACCTTTGGGTTCCCGGCGGGCAGTGCCAGGCGCGCGGGGCCCTGGGGGGCCACCAGGCGCGACGGTGGCCGCGATGTCCCATGCGTTCCACAGAGCGCGGACGCGACCAAGGCGCTCCGGCCCCCACGCCCCCCACGCCGTGCTGGGTGGGCGGGAGCGCCTCACGTGGAGCCGGAGAGACAGACAGAGGGGGCCGTTGTTGCTCGGCCCCCGTGCGCGCCACTCTTTACAATGTAGCGACTAACGAAACGGCCCAGGACGTCCAGGGTTTGCGCGCTTCCATTGGCCGTGCGATTTTACGCGGCTTGTCCTATCATTTTCAATCTTCACGCCGTCTTGTAAAGATGCTTCTCTTTATGGGCGCTGATGCCGTTTCTCTCTTTTTCACTTTTTACTGGTAATTCATGCGTACTGAATATAGCCAGTGGTTAGTTCCAACCTGCAGGTGAAAAGCGTAGAATTAAAAAAGTGTGGAGATCTGTCCAAGGTGATATAAAACAACCATTCTTGAGAACTTTTTCCTCAAAAGCACGTGCAGAAGCTGGGTGTAGTGGCACATGCCTGGAATCCCAGTCCGCTGGAGGCTGAGGCAGGGGGATCGCTGAGAATTCCAGACAAGCCTAGGCTACAAAGTGAGCTTGAGGCCAGCCCGAACCGTATATTGAGAGCCTGTCTCAGAAAGACCAGAATAAAAATAAAATAAAAGTTTAAAAAAGTACACACAGAATTCACCTCCTGGGGTGGTCCCAGGGCTGGGAAAGGAGAGGTGCAGCAGCAGAAGCAAATCGATCAAGTATTAAATCAAGAATTTGCTGAAGAGATTCTGATTCTGAAAGGGCTACATAGGCAGGACACCAAAACAGGCCATCGGGAAACGTAGGCTTCTGTGGTTCAGAGAGAGACCAAGTATTGAGGAAACTGAGAGGCCAATACAATACATGATGGTGAAGGAAATTCCTACTGCTTTGCACTGCCGAATTCTTTCTTTAAACTGGTGGGGGGCAGATTCCTTTGGGGGTGAGTGATGAGCAAGCACGTGATTTTGAAACAATTACAATTTCCTATATCATTTTTTCCTGCCGTATTCCTTCAAGCGTTAAATACAATTCTTTCGAGATTTAAGATACATCGTAGGATAGCAAGTGCACCAGAGTGAACAGTGTCATACTATTTGTAATTTACCATTTTGGTTTACAGTACTGGGGACTAATCTAATGCGTCGTACTTGCCACTGAGCTACATTCTCAGCTTTTTTGATGTTGTTTTGAGACAAGGTCTTGCCAAGTTGCTCAGGTTGGACTTGACCTCCTACCTTGGCCTCTTATGCAGCTGGGATTGCAAGTGTGTGCTGCCAGATCTGCTTTGGGATACTATTCTTCTAATGTATTTTTTTCTTTCCATTGTCTGCAGAATTTCCCATGTTCTACTTTGCAATGTAACCCAGAGGGTGTCATTCTGGTTTGTGGTTACAGACCCGTCCAAAAATCATACTCTTCCGGCTAATGAAGTACAATCGGCCATAAGGTAAACCCCCCCTAAATGCGCCCTCTACTGGTCAGTCAACTTGTTGATTAACTCAACGGTTTTCAATACTGATGTCTCATTTTCACTCTATTCCACACACGATTTATTGATTAAGATGTCAAAGATTTCATCTTATTTCTATTAGGAATAAGTAAGGTTAATCCTTTGCAGTCACCATATAGCCTTAACCTTTAAAAGATAATTTTAAAAATTAAAAATAAAATCGTTAATCATATAAATTAAAACTGAATACTGTTAGAAGATTTTATTATCTCAGTTAATGAAGGAACCAGGAAAATGTTAAAACATTTTTTATCTTTTTGAGACAGGGTCTCATTATGCAGTTCAGGCTGGCCTTGGGTTCACTTTGTAGCCCAAGCTGGTCTTGAACTTGCAAGGATCCTCCTGCCTCAGCCTCCTGAGTGCTGGGATTGCAGGAGTACGCCACCACACTTGGCCATGTTAAAAGATTTTTAAAGGACACTTCAAGGGCTGAGGAGTGATGGAAATTCATTAACAAATGCATCTGTGTATCTGTCAGCTAGTGATCAATTGTTCCACCAGATCCAATTCATTTGATTTGTTTTCTTTCTCTTTTCTTTTCTTTTCTTTTCTTTCTTTCTTTTCATTCCAGGGGTTGAACTCTAGACCTTGCATTTGCCAGGCAGGAGCTTATGCTGTTGAGCTAAATCCCTGGCCTTCATTTGTTTTTCTATGGACAAAAACATTTACATTATTCTATTTTTCTAGAAATTAGAGATTTTCAAGATAGCTCAGACAATGCCATGTGCAAATTGTCCAGAAATATGCATTAGGCAGGACACTTAGTAAGAAGTCCAGTAATCTTCTTTTTGCCTGTTTTCGGTCTTTCACAATTTTTTTCCTGCTAGTTATTCCCCTTCACTCCATGGGATCATAACTAACTTTCAAAAGTGAAGCTAAATTTTTACTTTCAAGAAGCAACAGAATGCCATTTGTTTTGCTTTCAATTAATGTGCAATTTGTGTGCATCACAACTTTGGCTAGCACATGTGATTGAAGTTGGGCAAAGGTATGTGGAAGAATGAGTTGAGGAAGTAAACTATTTTCTGACAAAGAACAGAGCAAAATATCCTTCCCCGTAAAAGATTTACAAGTTATTGAAATACTTATTATTTTCTTTATTAGGGAAAAATTCCAAGAGAAAAAACCCACATGCTGTCTGTTACATATTAACACTTATGATAATGAATATATAATTAAATGCCAAGTGTTTTTGTGAACAGTCATCTATTTCTTACTGAAGCAAAGGGCCTAAAGATCTATACCAGTGGGAAATGGTTTAATCTGCTCTAACAAGGAGATTTGGACTAAACTATTTCTGCATTTTTGCCTTTATGAATACTCCTAAGATCTGCAGTTTAAGGAGTAATAATTAGAAATATAGTATTTCATGGAAAAAAAGGATTTTATTCAAGCCTTGTGATCTGAGAGGACTTCCAAGAAAATGAAGACATTATAGTTAAACCAGTTTTAAGTTAAGATTTGAAGAGGATGATCGAGTGCCTGGGGTGCAGGTGGGGGAAATTAATAAATAAATTCTCAACAACAATGTCTGCTTCAGAGGTTTTAGCAGAAGAAGCCAGTTAGGAGGCAGAGAATGGCCAATAGAATAAGAATTTATATTAGAAATGAGTAGGTTATATTGGGTTTGAATGAAAAGAAATCAGTACCAAGAAAGAATAGAGTGAAAGACAAGGCATAGATAATAGGAATTTTGAAGATGAAGAATCCATATCATTGAGCACAAATACAGTTTCTGCCTAATAGTTGCACAACACTTTATGATTCACAATGTCTTATACTTCTATGGCATTTAATGCTGACACCAAATATTCTTGAGTGGAATAGTTATTATTATCATCCTTGTTTTATAAATGAGAAAACTAAAAAAAATGAGGAAACAGGCTCAGGGAGATTAATCAATTTGTTGAATTTTCAATTTCTTTAAAATGTGAATTACTTTAAAATGTGAATTACTTTCATGGATTAAAACATAAATATTCTTCCCTACATTTTTATACATATTAGTCTCATCTGCCAAAGTCATAGTCTCTAACTAAAAGATGTGCTTGCTTTTTTGTTCTGGTAGCTATTTGTTCGGTCTATCTATCTGTCTATAAATTTCACCTTTTGTTGAGTGTCAATAACTTTGGCTTGAAGCTCTTTAAAGGTTTTTTTTGACTCCACACCTACAGGGGTGCCATATTGGTATACTTCCTGATGTAGTTCATTTGTAAAGGCCAGGCCTAATTGAATTCAGGTCTTGGCTGAAAAATATCTGTAGTGACTGACACCAGTAGTGGAGAAGACTTAAACCTTTTTTGATCAGTGTTTGTTGAGCTAGAATTTGCAATCAGCCTGAGAAGGGCCAGAGCACATCCCCTGTAAAAAGGTTAAACAATCAGGTAGATAGAAATAATATTCAGGGTGACTTCATTTTTCTCTGAGTTATAGCTTATCAGTGGGTTTCATTAATTTGTGGAAAGGTTTGCATTCCAGATTACCAGTATTAGATTATGGAAAAGGAAAACATTCCTTAGTTTGATAAAAATTACATTTAAATTGTCCCTTGATACAGACTTTCTGGTAGGGTTTCTTTTTCACATTCATCAAAATACATTGCTTCTGCATGAATTTTTTTGTATGTGGCACTGAGAGTCCAACACAGGGCCTCACACATATAAACAGTGTTCTACCAGTGAGCTGTAGCTCCAGCATTTAGTGCAGATTTTTGTTTGCTAAAGAAGATCTTTTCTGATGGCCTGATAGCTGGCCTGCAGATATTCTCAAGCCATCATTATCACACTTTAGACCTGGATTGTCCTATCAAGCACTTGAACTGTGGCCAGTCCAAAATGTATATGTAAACTGCACATCAGATTTAAAAGACAGTACAAGATCAAATGAGAACCAACTCAATATTGATTGCACATTGAAATTATGTTTTCTTGAATATATTGGCCAAAAACACAGTATGAAAGTTAATTTTATTGGTTTCTTTTTAACAAATCTTTAGCACAACTACTAGGGATTTTTAAGATATACAAGGCTCACTTTCATTATATTTCTATTTGCCAGGGCTCCAAGGTAGATGAAATCTACTTGTGACTGTGAATTTAGTACAGGCCACAAAGTATCTCCAAGAAATCTACTCACCTAGTTTACAAATTCCAGTTAGAAATTCACTTATTTGATTTCCATTAAATAAATCTTTATCATCAACCCTTCCCTGACTGTCACTACCGCCCAAAATGCAGATTTTCCTCAAGGAAAGTACCACATTTACCTTTATATTTTTCTAGGCACTTTTATTCCTAAATCACCATTGTCTTCAGCCACATAGAACCACTTTGCTATTTCCTGAACATACTTTATTATGGCTCCATTCTTATGTTCGTTTTGCACTTAAGTCTAAAGAACTCCTATTTGTCTATCAAAACACAACTCAAAAATGTTCTGCAGAAAAGCACCTTTGTCTTCTGACTGTAATATATTTGACTCTCTCCTGTGCTACTACTGTGCCCATCTTTGTCTCTTCAACAGAACACTGTATACTGCACTGGGCTTGTGGATGCACTAATCAGCCACCCTTCTATACTCTAAGCTCCTGACTATTTTAATTCCATGGTATATCCCCCAGTACCTAGTACAATATCTGACACTTAGTAAAGTTTGGTGAGCATTTGTTGAGTTAACGGGACAAAAATGAAGTTGATGGATTCAAAGCCACTCCTAGTTAGTGGTTTTATTTTTGATTCCTGATTATTCTTTTCTTTCCTTATTTATCACCCACCATGGACACTTAATTTTATTTTGAGAGGCTATTGGTATTTACGTAGGGCACCGCAAGCAGAGTTCTGCCATTCTAATCTACACGCTACCTCTCAAAAAGTCAGACATGGTGGACAGAGTTCAAAGCTCAGGACTTATGGTGGTTATTTCTGGGGCATTCTCAACAAGGAAAGGCAGCTGTGCATAGACAGGCATTCCCCAGAGGCCAACTTGCAACTACTAAAAGAAACCACAGCATGAGTGCCTTTAGAAAGCTTTCTAGCCAACCTGAAGTCTCCTGCTAGGAGGATGCTTTGTGTTTAAAGAGATATTTATTTCCAGCAGTGCTAGGTCTGTACTTGATTTCTAATGTTTTTTTTCTTTCTAATCTTCTTCTTAATTATTGCATCATAGAATGAACAGGAACCGGATCAACAATGTCTTCTTTTTGAATGACCAGACTCTGGAATTCTTAAAAATTCCTTCCACTCTTGCACCACCCATGGACCCATCTGTGCCCATCTGGATTATTATATTTGGTGTAATATTTTGCATTGTTATAGTTGCAACTACACTACTGATTTTATCGGGGATCCGGCAACGTAGAAGGTAAGAAATTTAAAGCGAATGATTCAAGGAGCATTTGCTTATGTTTTCATGTCATAAAAAAATAAGCTGATTTTCCTTTGGTTGAAGTTAGTGTCTTAAATTGAAAATTCTCAATTTTCAAAATACCACTTTTTTGGGGTCATGTTTGGTTTGTGTTAGAATCAATGGCCCTTAATGAGGCTCTTTCCATTACTTCCTCTGTCTATTCTATACTATATGAACGTCTCATATTCAGACTTGATTTTCATATCTGTGTTGTGGTTTCATGTACTGAATACATGGAGCTGAACAGACTTTGGGTAGGCAGAGTTAATCTTTGGTATGCTTTCATGTCCAGATGCTAGCACTTCCACAGTTCCTTCAAAGCCTTTCCACCTTGGCTTGTCTCTTCTGGGCTCAGGGCCTGCAGGCCACTCTGTCACCCCAGATGCCCTGTGCTGCTTTGTTCTTCTCTCCCATTGCTGGATACACATCTCTCTAGTGCCTGTGATACCTACAGTTGGATTCTTCCTGGCCTTTGAACCAACTCTGAGGCCTCAGAAGTACGTGGAGCACTTGTTTCAAATGCAGATTCCTTGACCTTGTTACAGACTCACTGAGTCAGCATCCAAGAAGGGATGCATTTAAATGAACATCCAGGTTCTCCTTATTCACTTAATTTGAGAGTTTTCAATATTTATTTATTTACTTACTTACTGAGGTACTGGGAACTGAACCCAGGGTTTTCTTTGGACTGAGCTACATGGTGTGATAAAAATATATAGTAAATGTTTAAATTTTTTAAAAATGCATAATAGTAAAAGACATACTGCTACTAATCCTCCTTAAGACACTCACTCTCACTTCAAACACACTTAACTCATTGTTATTGGCACTTTCTGAAGCAATTCTGGAAGTCTTGTTTCATGTCTTTATGAGGTATCATCAAAACTACAGGGAACGCTGCTACAAAGTGCTATCCAGCAGAAAGGGTCATAAAGACATTATGGTGTGTTTTCCTACACCTGGTTCACCAGATCCGGCACTGTGCAACTTCTAACTGTTCCTCAAAGTCAAAATGACCATGAAAGGTAAACACTTTGAATTGACTCAGTACATTCAGGCAGCTACAGCAGTGCAACTAAAGGCACAAAAAAGGACCCCCTAGAGCTGATTCAGAAAGGAAATAAATGTGTTCAAAGCAAGGGGGAGCATTTTGAAGGGAATGAATGCCGATGTGTCTTTTACTGCAATCAATTTAAAAAATTTAAACATTCATTGTAATTTTCAATCATGTGGTATATATCCCTATTCCTTTTTTATGCTTTATATTGAGACAAGATCTCTCTAATTTGCAAAATTGCCAAGGCTGGGCTTGAACTTGTGATCTTCCTGCCTGAGTCTCCCAGAGTGCTGGGATCCATGCCCCATGAGAACTTCCAATTTGACAGTTTATGCATAGGATCTTACTTCTTGAGTTCATTTACTTGGGTTTTGGGGGCACTTGCAAACTTTGCTGTCTGAATGACTGATACTCCTTCAAGAGGGCATTTCGGACCAATGTGGGAGTTACTGAGGAAGGGAGGTGGCAAGGAGGCAGGATTTCTGTGTGATGAAAAAGGTATGTAATTTTGTTTGTAAATATCTCTAATCCAGAGGGGAAGATGGGAGATGCCTCAGTTCTTCACTAAACATTTAAAGCTTCTAAACTTCCGTTCTGATCCTGAGAAAGAGGAATTCTGGCAAATGGAAACTATAGAAACATGCATTCCAAAGTCACAGGGCCATGTTTTTTTTGGTTTTTTTTTTGGGGGGGTATGGTTTTTAAAAGTGTTGGTATCCATGCGTCATATGGGATGTGTTTAGTCAACTATGTGTTCAAGTAATGCTTCTCTTAATGTTTATTACTTTTCATGTTTTACCCTAGTTACTGATAGGCAGTATCTTAAATTTTAGATTTATAATTTTTCCACAAATGATATATGGAATACCATGGAATAAATATGCTGTGTGTCTGTGCCTCAGACACAAAGATCGTCATCCAGGGGTTCTTGCTTGATATTCTTAATGATATTGACATGACATATAATGAAAAACTTGACATGTGGTGTGTGTTTTGGTTTGTTTGCAGGATTTTAAGAAAATTCTCTTGCAGCATTAGAATGCCTATGTTTAGTAATTTTAAGTTTAGTATTAATTATGAGATGTTATGATTCTGTGGTTTCAAATGATTGGTAACCTGAGTGAATTTGCTTCATCTCCATGGTCCCCAATTTCTTCATTAATATAATGTAATGTAGGAGTTAGACAAATGGCCTCTGAGATAGGCCTCTTAGATTCAAAATACTGCTTAGATTGTGACCTTGTGTATAATCTTGTAACTGTATGGAGATCAGGAAGCACAATAAGTTGAGGAAACCAAATTTGAAAGAATATGGTTTGTAGTGCTACAGTCAAGCTGGTCGAATTTATCTTACTGTCCACATATAGATAACTTTTCTAGAGCAGCAGCAAGGCATACTGGAAATAATTAACTTGGTAGAATAAAGCAGTCAATACTACAGAGTGCTTAGAGTCGTACCTGGTACATGGTGAGCACTCAATGAGTGTTAGCTGTTACTATTATTTTATTATCTTGCCATTTGCTGGTCTTTCAGCTAGCTTGTGATAGGATGAGCTGTTTCCTTCTGGGCAGATTCTGCAGTAATATAGTAATTAGATGTGTACGATCATAATCTGTTGCCTGGGAGAAATGAGGCTGTTGTTACATCTTTGCCTTCATAAATTCATTTCAGGTTCAGACTAGGAAAGCAGATGGGCAGATCTCTTGTGTAAACCTGGAGAGGATCAATAATTAGCAAATATGGTGAAGATAATTATGACAACCTCCTGGAGATAAAGTGTTTGTTGTGTTTTGTTTGATACACTCTGTGGTAGCTTTGTCATAGGCAAAATATTGCTTCAAAGATGAAGAGGGGTGCAATCTGAAGTAGGGAGAGCTCTAATAATTGTGATGAAAATTCTTTTTAATCATGGACAAGATAGGAGCTGCTCTTGCTCAAGTCTTTAGTCTTGAGCAAGACAGAGAAATGTTTAACAATCTAGTCCATTCACTGGATAATGATGGATATAGTTTATATGGTGCAAAATCTTAAATGATCTGCGGGAACCAGTGTCATCTAAGTCATGTAGAACATCAGAGTCATCTAGGATATATGTGTATTTAAAATTACTGTTGAGGAAATGTCTCATGTAGATCTTTAGTAATTGCATTAGTTTTGTCAGTAACAGCGTCATGTTGATTATAATGTGGAGAGTTTGGGTTGGAGTCCAAACCAGGTAAGCTCAAATACCAGCTGTGCTGTTCACATATATGATCTTGATCTAGTCACCTAATTTCCATGGGTCTCAGTTTTTCCACCTGCAGCTGGAGCACAAAATGTCATAGGGCTTTCATTAAGCTTGAATGTTACAAATGTTGTGTGAAGTACTCAGAATATAGTATGTTAAAAAATAGCAAATATTATTATTATTTAAGATCAACTTAACCCATTGCTGTGCTTAAAGGGTGCTTGGAAAGGAACTTTTTTTCACCCAGATATTGCCCTAATACTTGTTATATGTATACATTGTGAAGTGGTTAAATCAAACTAATTAACATATCAATCACTTCACATACTTAGCATTTTTGTTTTGTTTTGTTTTGGTACTAAGAATTGAACCCAGGGCACAGAGCTACATCCTGGGTCCTTTATTTTTTATTTTGAGACCGGGTATTTCTAAGTTGCTAAGCTGCCCAATTTGGGATCAAACTTGAGATTCTCCTGCCTCAGCTTTCCAAAGTGCTGTGATTGTAAGCATGTACCACCATGCCTGGCCACACACTTAGCATTTTTTATGATGAGACCATTTAACATTTACTATTTTAACAATTTTCAAAGGGGCTGGGGATTTAGCTCAGCGGCATAAGCACCTGCCTTGTAAGCAGGCAGTCGTGAGTTTGATCCCTAGTACCGATAAAAGTTAAAAAAAAAAAAAGAGCAAACAATTTTCAAATGTACACTATTATTAGCTGTAGTCATCATCCTATACAGTATATCTAATTGAAATTTTGTGTTTTTGACCAATATCTGCCTGTTCTTGTTCTTTAGGCCCTGGCAACCACAATTCTACTTTCTCTGCTTCCACAAGTTTGATTTTTCTTAGATTTAATTTGTAAGTGAGGGTCATGAGGTTATTTCTTATTCTGTGTCTGGTTTATTTCATTTAACATGACGTCCTCCAGTTTCATAAATTTTGCAAATGACACAATTTTCTTTTTCCAAGTCTGATTTCATTGTATGTATATATCACATTTTCTTCATCCACTAATCTACTGATGGGGAATCAGACTGATTCCATACTTTTACTATTGCAAGTAATGTTGCAGTGAAGACAGGAGTGCAGCTAATTTCTTTGGCATATTGGTTTCAATCCCTTTGGATATATACCCAGAAGAACAACTGATAGATCATAGTTTTAGTTTTAATCTTTTGTGGAACTTCCATACTGATTACCATAATGGCTATACAAATCTATGTTCCATCAACAATGTACTGGCATTCTGTTTTCTCCACGTCCTGGCCAACTCTTGCTATCTTACCTCTTTAGTAATAGCATTCTAACATGTGCAAGGTGAGTGGTATCTCACTGTGGTATTGATTTACATTTTGCTGACGCTTAGTGATGTTAAGCATTTTTCCACATACCGGCTGGCCATTTGTATGTGTTTTGAAAATTGTGTATTCAGGTTATTTGCCTAATTTAAAACCAGGCTATTTTTTTATTTTAGAGAGATTAAGATAAAAGAGGATATAACAAAGCAGATCCGAATAGAACAATTTAAGCAACACGGTATTTCACCACAAGACAGCCAGATAGAAGAGTAGTTACCATAATGTCTCTTAAGATCTGCTATTTGTTTTCTTACTATTGAGTTGAGTTCTTTGCATATTTTGGTTATTGATTCTCAAACAGAGATA